TGACTTGGACAACTCCATAGCCCTTGACAAACTGTCTGGCCATGCTGCATGCTTGGTGTCATCCTTCAGACCATCCAGCGCCTTGATGACGTCCATATTGCTCCACAAGCATGTTGGTTTTCGTCGTTGATGTCCAAGAGCTCCTTGATCCACCGTCAACCTTTTCAATCCCACCGCCTTTTCCAACACTGATTTCACCTCGGGCCACACAGTGAAAGAGGCATATTCCACTTCGTCTTGCCTGTACGTCATTGGATCCTCTGGAGTCTCCACTACGGCCTTGACGTCAGGGTTGTAGAGCTTGGCCTCATACATCAAGAGCAGTGTTCTCAGCCAAAGCTGGCTGTCAGTGTCTGCCAACTGTTGCTCCATCATCGTGTTGGTATCCAAGCCAAACCTCTGTAAACCATGTCTCGCCCTCACAGGCCGCGGTCCTCCATCAGACCGGTAACGTGCAGCTGATACTGTTCTGCACGGTGGGCCAGCGAGTACTGCAACCACTCGACCCGACCTCACAAACTGCAGTAAAAAGTGCCAAACTGCTGAGTCCAAGAGATCTTGTCCTCGAAGTAGATCCACATTCACCACTTCGATGTCGTGTGGCATTCTTTTTGACCACCACGCTTGATCTGGACCTGAAAACAAATTCAGCACAATACCCTTGGCCTTCTTGAAGCGTCGCCGTTGATGGCGATTCCATGGCAATCGAGCCTCATCACCAGCCTTGCTCACCATAGGTTGCAACAACTCCACAGGTGTTTCAGGAAACAACTTCTTGAGCTTGTCGGCCATGTCCTTGTCTTCCTGTTTCCAACCTGTGACTTCCAAACTTCGCAACATCAACTGCTTGTTCTTCTCCGCAGTTTCCAGCTCTCGAATGAGCTTCATCCCCACATCATTGGTCACGTAGGGACAATTGTCACGAACTGTGACTTTCACTTCACCCAGCTTGGCATGTGTGAGAGCACACCCATCGCGATGCCACCTCATCTTACATCCATGCCGAGTCAACATTCCCAAAGGTACAGTTGGCTGCAGATCATCCTTTGTCAACAAAGATCTGCTCATCTTCGACATCCTCAACTGTGTTTTTCCAGTCGCCGTTTGTACCTCTGTTGGGATCGCCTGCATCCACTCAGTCTCATCATAGGGTCCTCTAAGGATATGCGTGGCCCCTGAGTCCAATAGCACACCCTGATTGCTGTCAGTCACCACCGCCAACACCCTTGGAGTCGTTGACGTTGTTCGCATTGTCTTCAAAAGACTGACAACTTCACCCATGACTGAGGGCTGAACTTGTTGTTGTACTTGAGCAACTTGAGGCTGCTGTTGTACCTGAGCAACTTGAGGCTGTGAATCCTTTGAAGACTGATCCACTCCCCCGACCGGCTTGTCCCGGTCCTTGCCTTTGCCCTTGTCGTTCTTGCCATCCTTTGTCTTTCCCTTGCCTTTGGGGCTTCCTTTGGAGCTTCTATCACCTGGACTTGTCATAACCTTGTCACCAGCCGTGCAGTCTTTGGCAATGTGTTCCAAACTGGAACACTTCCAACATCTCTTCTCCTTGTCGTTGAGATTGTTCCACTCGTGGGCATAGGTGCATTTGTCACCCTTGAGGCATCCATAAGGTTTACCCCAATGCTTGCATGCTCCAGCTCCTGCACCATAACCACTGCCTTCTGCATTGTTGCCATAGCCTTTCTTACCAGGAGATCCCTTCTTGCCACCACCCTTGTCACCAGCAGCATTGACCACATTGATCTTGGGGTTGCCTGAAGTCGGACTTGCCTTCGTCATTGTTCCATGATGCAAGTGATCCGCTTCGGCAATCAACATCTGCAGATAGTTCTCCGCTGTGAGCTGTGTAGGCGCCACATCCACCATATGGGTCATGCGGAAGTTGCTGATGCGAAAGCTCGCTTGATGCTCCTTCGCAATCACTGTCCGCATCACTTCAGAAAGTGCGCTCACCTGCAGCAAGGGATCTGGAACCTGTAGTCCAAGTTCACGAGCTCGCAGGAGTTGACGTCGCCATTGGCGTAGCATCTCACCAGCCTCTGCTGCAGATTTGGCTGCTGTTGTTTGGGTCAAGTTGTTGAGGATGGTGCTTTTCTCGTTGAGACCACCAGGTTGGTACAGCTTCAAGATGCGAAACACCAACTGCACGCATGTCATCTCTCGCAAAGAGATTGCTTCTTGTTTGACCGTCTGTGGCACTGCAGCTAACAACATTGACAGCACGCGAGACTCCAACCTGACATACTTGTTCTCCACTTGAAGGTCAGGTTGCACAGCCATGCGATCCATTGGACCCGCTGTCAGCCATGTTGCATAGGCATCTTGAGCTCGTTGTACTAGTCCGGTCCACCACACTCTTGCCCCTTCTGAGACATCTGAGATCAGCGGCATCAACTCACTTAACCAATCTCCTGCACGAAGAGCAGCTTGAGGCTCTGACACGTCCTTCAGAGTTGGCAGTGTAATCGGCACATTTCTCAGCACCTCAGAAGCTTCACCATCAGGACCTTTCGCTTGTGGTTGAGGTTGTTGCCATTGCAGTGGCATTGAACCATATTGCATTGGTGCTGCAAACACTGGTACTCCACAAGGTCCAACTCCATGTCCTTGAGGCGGTTGTGGTGGTGGTTGCGGAACATAGCCAAAGTCCGCTGGTGGACCACCATGCCTGTGCACCGGTTGCTCCCAGTACTCACCTGTCAACCTTGGTCTTTCTCCATGCATCATCCTGACCTCTCTGTCCAACCATGCAAAACGATCTGCTCCAGGTTGAAGATGATGCTGCTGTTGCGGTTGTTGATCCACTGGAGTCCAAAAATCCTCCAAACCATCAAAACCTGTTCCACCACCCACATGCTCATCAACTGCAAACGGGTCAAACTGCCATGGTGGAAGTTCTGGAAGATCTGCTACCTCCATTGGTGGTTGTCCCGGGGGAACTTGAGTTCCTGCAGGTGTTGTTCTTGGTGACAGCGAGTAGTACTGAGGTCGCCGCGGTGGTGTCCTTGGTGGATCCATGCTCGAACTCTTCTTCTTGAGCTCCTTCTTCAACTCTTCAGTTTGCTTTTCAAACTCATCACGCTGGCGTTGCAAGTCCTCAGCATACTTCTTCATCTCTTCCTGTTGTTTCTCCATCTCAAGCTTCTGTCTGTGAAGCTCTTCAACCATTGATTGCTCCAAAGCCCACCTGAGCTCATCACGCTCATCTTTCCCTTGTTGATTGACATCATCCACAAAAGTTGTAGCACCATGTACTTCGCCTTGTGGTTGTCGACTTGCCTCACGTGGCATCTGTCTTCTCATCTCATACTGTTGCACTCCCATTGGAACTCTTTCCAAGGGTGATTCATCATCTTGCCGATGACCTCGTCTTTGAGACTGATCTCGCAGACCACTTGGTACTGTTCGATGACCTTGAACTTGACGTCGTTCAGGTCCATAACCATGACTGACTCCTCGGTGGCGTCCAGTCTCTTGCACATTTCCTTCAGACCTTGAGGGTCCATGACGGCTGACTCCTCGATGGTGTCCAGCCTCTTGCACATTAACTTCAGACCTTGAGGGTCCACGGCTGACTCCTCGATGGTGTCCAGCCTCTTGCATGATGTCAGACCTTTGAACTGGTATCTCACCTCCCAGTCCTCCAGTCTTCCCACCTTGTCTTGCAACCCCATGAGATAGTATCTCACCTCCCATCCCATTGGGCCGCACCACTCTTCCTTGACCATGCCCCTTGCCAGAACGTTGCACTTCTCCAGCAAGTAGCCCTGCTGCGACACCTCGATGGTGCCCAACTTGTTCAACACCTTGAGGGTGTTCATCTTGCTCGACACCTTGAGGGTGCCTATCTTGCTCGACACCTTGAGGGTGCCTATCACGTCTAACACCTTGAGGGTGTCCACATTGTTCGACACCTTGAGGGTGTCCAGCACGTTGACCTTGTCCAGCATCTTGAGGATACCGAAGGTCCACACCTTGAGGGTGTGCATTTCGTTGACCTTGTCCAGCATCTTGAGGATGCCGAAGGTCCACACCTTGAGGGTGTACAGCATGTTGACCTTGTCCAACATCTTGAGGATGTCGAAGGTCCACACCTTGAGGGTGTACTTCACGGCGACCTTGTCCAGCATCTTGAGGATACCGAAGGTCTTGACCTTGTCCAGCATCTTGAGGATACCGAAGGTCTTCATCATCATTTGATGGCATAGCCCCTTGAGTCTGCAAGGCCACACCTCGTCTTGTACTCCAACTTGACGGAGCACTCATTCGTCCCATTGCTAGCGGCTCCAACTCTCGCGACGCGTCTGCATCTTCTATCTCCGGAAGGTCCTCCTTGACTGAGACCTCTTCCCTTGGCGTCCACATCGGCTGCTCCATGGCCAACTGACGTGCTTCTCGTAGGTGTTCTTGCTGAACCTCTGCTGACCACCACGGATTCGGCTCGGTGCCTAAGTCCAACAGGTCAGTGCTCACATCCAGTTCTTGCCGTAGAGCCCCTCCATGTTCGCCTCGTAGTAGAGCTCGACCTTCATCTCGTCCATCACTGCCATTTGGTAGAGCTCCTTGTTCTCCATGCCGAAGGTCTCTGCCATCATGTCCAGCTCGTTCGCCTCCATGCCCTGGTCGGCCTTCTTGATCCAGCCGTAGACCTCGAGGTCCACCTCCACCAGTTGGCACCGAACTCGCCCTAGTCCACGACATGGCAAACGCCCCTTCAGCTGAGCGTTGGGCTCATAACCTGTGTTAGGCAGAGCAGCGCGACTTTTGATCCATAAAGAGCCTAGTGGAAAGGCAGCTGTTGTGCTCACTGATAAGAACAGATACTTCACCTGTCCAGTTGCACATGCATACACATGAACCCTTTTGCACTCTTAAAATCTCTGAAAATCTCTTAAAATCTCTGAAAAAGGCTTTAGGGCAATCCCATCTTTCAAATCTTTCGAATCCCATCCCCATGGCCCTTGGGGATGCCCCAAGCCTGGCAGGCCTGTGTTTGGTTGGGTCCTCAGCGGCGAGAAAAGACGTTGGCCCGTTTTGTCCATCACTCGCCCTCAGAATTTGCTGACATACTGACATAACAGTTACAGACATTTACAGTGTATTGGATGATACTATATGATACTATCATACATCTACAAATATACATCATTATAGAATATTATAGAATATTATATAGAATATTATAGACACACAGCTCCAAATGGCTCGGCAGTTGAAACCATTGGTATTCCATGGTATCCCTTGCACATGGCCACCCACAAGCCTTCGAATCTTCACCAAGTGACACTCCATGAAGCGTCGCCATTGCAAGGCGCTGGGTTACATGGGAAACCTCCATGGATTTGATCTCTGAGCAACGGAGAGTCTTGCTGCGAAGGCACAGGGACACCACTGAGTGCTTTCTATGCGATGCTTATATTATTATGTGTGTAATTGTGCGTATATCCTTGAAATAAAATGCTACTGTATAACGGTATAGACGGATAGACATGAGTTTTGCTGCATGATGTATAGTTGTACCGTTGTACCGGTTGTTAGCATGGACTAACCACTCAACATAGGATAACCCTGAACAAATTGGGTCTGATAAGCCATTAATCATGCCTTATACTAGCAGGTTTAATGGGACATGTGGGGATTAAAATGACGGCATCAATGATTTCCAGTATCATCCATAGAAAAATGCACCATCGCTTGTGGAACCTGTCCACTTGGAGCGTGTTTGGAAGTGCTGTAGGGAGGAACGCGTAATCCCCTCATCCCAGACTTCTGTAGGATTGTGCTTTTGTCCCACCTTCACTGGTGTATTTTTAGTAAATGAAGGTTCCAAAGCACGAGTCTTGCAAAATGAGTTTATTGCTGCTAGCTGCTAGACCGTTTTTCTCAAGCATGTCGAGCTTGATTGTTCTGACCCGCAACAGGGAAATGCAGCGGGCGGAGGAGATTCGGGCAACAACAGCAGCAGGCACTGTTTTCCAAAACCGTCAAAAACCTGAAGTCGGTCATCCACTTTTGTTTGGGATTAATCGAATACTGTAATATATCTGACTTTTCCATTTTAGATTTCTGAGTTGAGAGCTCTGCTGGTTTAATTCCTGGAGTACAGACTGGCAGCCTGGAAGTCAGGGCAAGAGTGCATGAAAGCGGTTAAGAAGGCGCGGGCAGGGAGAGTGACTGGCATGAGCCTCTCACCTAAGTGATCTAAGTGGAAGATGGGGAACCAGGGACAGAATTTGTACAATCCAGCCATAATCAAGGCGGGACGCAGAGTGGTTTTGCGGAAACTATTGTGGTTGCCATATGTTAGGAGTCGAACTGCGAAATGGTTTTGATTTTCAGATTCTTAGCCAGCGGTGTTATGGACCGTTGATACAGCACTCTGGATGATTAGGTACTTGAAGTCAATGCTTTGCAGGATACTCCAACAAATCCCAACAATAATTGTCAGACTTCAAACATATTGATACATATTATTTACACATATATTTAATATTTACATATTGTAAGAATACAGATCATCACAATCTGGAATATCCTGGGCGGGAATTTCCCCAACTTTTGCTTCCACCTCCATTTGCGCCCGGATCTTCGGGCTCCAGGCGGTGTCGGACCTTCAAAAGAAGGTGCCTCAGAAGGTGCATCAATTGGGTCAAGGAAGGGTTAAGGGTTCTGACTCAGCTTCAATTTGGAACATGTTCGAATTTAAACACACATGGACGGTGGCCGTCAAGCCATTGTGATTTGAAAGGGCAAAGGGGGCCTGTGAAAGATTCAAGCTTCGAAGACTGAAGCACTGTTCCAAAGCCGTGGTCACGGGAAATACATTGAAGTACTTGAGCCGGAATCACTGACGCTAGATTACTCAATGATTACTCTAGATTGTTTTCTTACTCTCCATCGAGTGTTGCATTTCTCGAAGCAAACTTCGAAGGGTTCACAAACTCCGTGACCTCTCTCAAGGTGACGGAGCTTTCTGACTTGCGCGTGCGACTCTTGCAGTTGGAAGCAGAGGCCCTCCCTGTGGTGGCAAGCCACGTGTAGAAAATAAAACTGAACAATGTCAATGTAACCATCATATTCAACTTGTTGAGCATGATGAATGATGACCGCTTCATGTATGATACTATTGGCAGACGCAGTGCGACAAGCAGTACCATTTCCGTCGACGAAAGTGTCCTGTTTCCGTCCGCATCTTGTTTTTGCTGCACAAGAACGAACAAGCAAATGCAAGACATTTGCAATAAGCCCAATCAGCCTTCTGAAGAGGTTCTTAATGCCCAAGCTTCCAGTTTTAATATGCTAGTTTGTCTCAAGTTTGTTTCTTCAATGGTGAAAGAAAATGCCCCCCCCCGAGGGCAAGTAACAAGGATGAGAAAAGTGACACTAGCCTAATGGGGCATAAATATGGACATGGATAAACATGCATTAACTATGTTTAAGGACAGCTATGGCTTCTATGGCATCTATGGGGGGACTCAATGTTGACACTGGCAATATCTATGTGGATTTCATCTTTTTTGAACCAGTGTACTGTGCTGAGCTGTGCTGGGGTCAAGATGATCAAGCCATGCAGGTGATATCTCCTTTGGAGGAATTTAGCAATTGGTCTCCAGACAAGGAAGTTTCAGCCACCGATCGACTGCCGTCGTCGCACTCAGTGTCCGGATGTTGGCAGTGGAGGATGCTCGGGAAGAACAGGAGCAATCCTCACTTTGGATTTGGGATTTGTAGACGTTTGATCTACTGCTTTCGCTTGTATTTCGCAAAGACCGTCTTGTCTTCGCAGATTGTAATGATGCTCGCTCATTCGTTTTCAGTGTTTTCAACGTTTGACCAGCTACAAACAAGTTACCCCCCCAAACTGGATGGATGGCGCGTACTCGCTCTCACCCTCCCAACTAGATGAGAGTATAACTCCCACATGCGCACCAAACACGACTAGTGGCTTGTCATTTCGTTGCATGTTGCAGTGCTGATTGATTAGTGACAAACATCACAACCGCGACAGCCGACCCGCAATTGAACGGAATCACAAAAAACTATCAAAAACTATCAAAATATTATCAAAACATCATTTCCAGTCACAAAAGGCAGTCCTCGTCTGCCCATGTTGAGTTGTCAACCCCAAGCATCTCTGTCTTTGTGCAAGGCCATCGATGGTATCATCCCTGACAGACCGGAAATTGGTGACTGACGACTTCCTCGCTGAGGTTTGGATCCAGCTGAGATCAGAATGCTTGGACGGGATGCAATTCCCATGATGTTTCATGATCTCATCTGCCCTTTTGGATCCTTCTGTTTTTTTTTGAACCATCATCATTATCTATGAATCTATGAGATTACAATTGCTTACATAAGCTTCTAATATCTTTATAGAATTACGTATAGATATATTATAGATATTGATGATACAATATGATATAGTAATATATTGGTGTATGATGATGTTCATCTTCTGAAATGGCAAGTTTTTGGCCAGGTGTCCATGCTGAAACGCATCGAATCCGTGTGCCTTGGCAGCCACACGACTGTAGCTGACTTTGCCAGAGGAAGCCCCACTGAGATCCCTTCCAGAACCATAGCTCCGTCGATGCCAAGGAGAAGCCACAGTAACTCGCGACGCGCCAGTTCCTCTAAATTCAGTTCATTCAGCCAGATCCTCAATGGGTTGGTTCATGTCGACTCCAACGCTTTACCAGTCCACCGATACCGTAGCAAAAGATAGCAAAAGCATGCGGCTTAGATCGCCCACTCGGCCCACAACCAGTGGGGACCAGCCCTTTGTGCCTACTTGATCTATCTTGATCTACTTGTGAAATCACGTGAAATTCGGATGTCAATTTTGAGACCAGAACCTGCAGGATGTGCCAATCTATTTTTAAAACGAGGCGGGAGCGATAGTCGAGATCCCATGGAGCTGGACTGGGCGCCAGGTGGGGTCCTGCGATCCGAAGCTTCAAAGATGTCTTGCGTTGTCCAAGTTCAGTGTGATCAAAGTGCCAACTCAGACCAACACATTTAAAGGATTTTAAAGGTAAATACATAATAAAACATAATAAAACAATAAAGACAAAAGATATAACATATCATTATATATCGTTAATATCGTTATTGTATACTATATACGTATAAAGTATAAACTTGTCTGTGTGAGTTGTGTGACTTGTGTGATGTGGTCCATGTGCGGAACCTCTACATCGCTTCCGGCCGGCAACTACTTTGCAGCGCCGAGGTTCTGGGGGCTCCAGGGACATGAGCCCCTGGCTCGCAGGCACATCTTCCAGGTCCAGACATTCTGGAACCATCACTCGCTTCAACGATATCCGGAGACTCGGACAGTTAATGATACTTTTTTTAGAAACGTTTTTTTGGCGTCTTCACTGTTGCCACTGCTGCCTGACGGGCACAATGTGAGAATTTTGATTCGTTTGGCCAATGGCTTTGCAATCGAAGGGGGACAAAACAAAACATCCCCCTAGCCCAGATTTTGAAATTGGAGGGGGGGGACTTATTTTGCAATAATTGCTTTTTGGATTTCTTTTTTTTTGGTACAGGTCCTGATTTTCAAATACCCCTCCTTTTCCTTTCCTGTCATCTCCTTCCACTCCTCTGAGCCTCTCCTCCCCAAACCTCCAAAAACCAGAAAAAAAATGGACGGCCAGCGGGCCAGCGCCTCGCTTAAACCAGTGGTTTTTAGCAAGGCAATCGCATTTTGGGCAAGGCAAAGCTTTGCGCCTCACTGAATTGGGCACCGCCTTGCTCAAAACCACTGGTTCTAAGCAAGGCAGCTACTTAGTTACTTGGGAAGGTTTGGCGTGGCTTTGGATTAAGGTTTCAGATGAAAAGCGGTGGCCGAAATGCATGGTTGGGACAACTAAAAGAAATCCTACCCCTCCCTCCCCCTTAGCTCCAGGGGGATAACGCAACTAATTGAGTCGGTTCAGCTGCAGTGCTGTCAGGTTTGATTAGCTTTGATCCATTTTGCAATGTTTGTCCTGAAGGGACATTCAGCAAACATCAGCGTTGATGGACATGAGTTTCCAGATCTGCAGGATCTGAAGCGCCTATTGTTGAGTGCTGATAGCCCTTTTCGTTGTTGCTTTCCAACCCTGGTATTCTTCATGTCGGTTTAAGGAAGATGCCGGAGCAGACAAGCGAGAGCCGGGGGTCCGAGAAAGCTGATCCTGCAAGTCCTGCAGCGTAGTTTCGCTTTTGAGGATTTTTAAAGGACCATTAAGGATCTATTCATGAGTTTTAAGAGGATAATTGTGGCTTCCGGATACTTCAGGTGTGAATATTGTGAATGACAAGCTTCGGGCGTGGTAGGGCTACTGCCGTGATACGTCGTGATCCTGTTCCTAGGTTATTCTCCATCATTTTGGTTTTGTTGCTCTGTCGGATCCTCAATGGTGGGAATCGAGCATTGTGGGGATGGCACTGTTTGCTATGAATTCGGATCCGAGCCAAAGAGGTGAGGGTGTCTTCCGGTCGTTGCTTTCCCTCCTGAGACTTCAAGAAGAAGCAGTGTTTGCAGCGGTTTCCAGTTGACACAGTAGAAACTGTTGTCACTCTTCATGAGTGTTTATTATCAAAATAAGTCTCAACTCCGAACTCCAGCCTCAATGAATTCACAAAAAAAACATCTTTCAGCATCTTGCAGCCAAGCCACAACATTCCATGACATCCTTATGCCAAGGAGAAAAAGACGCGAACCAAGCTCTGAGCAAACGCCAGACCTTTGCGGCCCGATTGGCCCTGTCAGGTGAGGATCTGGCGTCGGTGCCATGGCCCGTGCATGCCCGTGCCCAGTGAAATCTGAGAGCAAGGGTGCAAAGCACGATCAAAGCACTATCAAATCTATCAAGCAATTTCATAGGCAATTTCATATTTTGAATTGAATCATTCTCAAACAGCCAGATTCCATAATATGCAGTGTGAGTTCACAGTACAAGATATTCGGGGCCTCTGAGCACGAACAGGCGTGAAAACTGTCTTGCTCTGAGAGAAGTAAAAGAATGCAAACGCGCGCTTTCCAGCTTGACTGCAGCTTCTGCCCAGAATGGACTTTCGGTTTGGTTGTCGCACCAGTGACGATGCGACAATGTTTAAATTTGGGTTCTTTTGGCCGATGGCTTTGCAATCGAAGGAAACATACCGAAAGTAATTGAGTCGGGTTCAGCTACAGTGCTGTCAGGTTTGTATGTTTTGACATATTCAAGTTTCAGATTTATGAATTGAGAGACCCCATACAGGCCAAGAAACAAGAAACAATTGTGATATACAATAAGCAACAACAACAAACAAAACATTAAGACACGAACAAAAACAATTATAGACATAGAGTTAAAGACAAAACAAGCAAACACAAACAAAATCAAACATAGACACTTGAAAAACAACAGCAGAAAACTATCAGAAAATAACGATCACACCAAAATTGTGAACAACATGTATAAGACAAAACACTAGGGGAAGAAAAACAAAACAATGAAAAATAGAACAACCAAACAATCAAGAAACATGCAAACAAAACCGTTTGTTTGGTCATTTATTTTTTGTTTTGTTGTTCCTTTATTAGTTCTACAAATGTGGGCCTTTGTTTTCTTAATTTGGGATGTCAGCGAAGGAAGGACATCCGTCTGCATTCTTGACATCCTTGCAAAATGGTGTAATACGAAGAACATCTAAGACAATGACTCCGTCCTGCGCTGTGATGGCTGGGGTGAGGAGGCATCCACCCGAGGCCACACTGCATCACTGCCTTGGCACAGAGAAGCGGCGCAGTCAGGATGACGTTGACACGTTGAAAAGTCTGATTCTTTGAACACCTGGATACTTGAGCGTCACAGGAAAGCAATAGCCAAGAGAAGGGAATCAAGGAACAAATCGGGAAGAAACTAGTGGAGCAATAGACAAAGCAGCCCGGAAGAACATAGGAAAAAACATATCCCGGCAAGAGACCCCAAACAGTGTGGGGGGAGTGGGAGGATAATGTAGGATGATGTTGAGGAGGAGAAGAATGATGATGATGATGATGATGATGATGGTGATGATGATGATGAGGATGATGATGATGATGCTGAGGATGACGATATTGAGGATGATGAGGTGCAGGAGGATGATGTGGATGATGATGATGTAGAAGAGGATGATGATGATGATGATGCTGAGGATGAAAACTGATGATAATGATGATGATGATGGTGATGATATACCAGTATGAGTTTCCTCTAGGATTTCAGGGAGGTTAACCCCCCTAAGGAGGGTTGATTAGCTTGAATTTGCTGAAATGATGCTTTCGAAGTTCCCCCAATTTTCTACAGAACAACTTTTGGAGACCTCTGAGTCGTAAGATCCTGATTTTCTGGGTAGTTTAGGTGCCCAAAATCCAGAAGCATAATATTAGCATCTCTGGGAGTACGTGCATAGATTTTCTAGTGGTCCTTGATTTTCTAGAGAGGCACTGGCAGGTCATTACAACCAACAATATGATATTTGGATGTACTTGGGTGCGTCTGAAAACAGGGATACCCAATTTATGGCAACTTGAATGGGGATAACGAGTCGAAACCATGACATTCGGGGGTACCCATTTTTTATCGAAATGGGATGGAAATTCCATGGGTTGGATGCTGGGCTCTAGAAAAAGGGGAGCAGTAACTTGAAGTGGTTTTTAACATATTTGATTTCGTAATTTCAAAACTATGCAATTCAAGTAGGGCGGTGTTTTTCTAAGGAAAAATGCTAAACATAGCTTCGAAAATGCACTTCTTGTACGTTGCCATTTCTCTAGGATACTTCAAATTGGTTTGATGTTTGTTGCTAGATTTTCTTGGGTCCCTAATTTATACAACCTACATTTTCTACTAGAAAATCACAGGCCCCAACCTGACCCGGTGAACTCGTACAGGGATGTGATGCTGATGATGATGATGATGATGATGATGATGGCGAGGATGGTGATGATCACGGTGAGGATGATGATGATGGTTATATGATCATGATGATGATGATGATGATGATGGTGGTGGTGATGTCGCGGGCGATGATGTTGAGGATGACGATATTGAGGATGATGAGGCGCAGGAGGATGATGTGGATGATGATGATGATGATGATGATGATGATGATGATGATGATGATGATGATGATGATGATGATGTTGAGAATGAAAATGATGATGATGATGGTGATGATGAGGATGATGATGAGGATGATGATGATGATGCTGATGATGCTGCTGATGATGATGATGGTGATGATAATGGTGATGTTGATGATGTTGATGTTGTTGTTGATGATGATGATGATGAGGATGGAAATGCGGAAGATGATGCAGACTTGGCGCGAGCCTGCGTAGTCGAAATGCACATCAACATGTCACAAGAGCCACTTCATACGGAAATTCAGGAAAAATGCCGCACCCCAGAACCGCAACCCACACTTTGTGCGAGCCCGCGCAGTCGAAACGCATGTCAAAGTTTCACAAGAGCCACTTTATGCAGAAATTTACAGGTAAAATGCCGCAGACCAGAGTGAGCACCCTGATCAAGCACCGGCCTTTACACTTACCGTAAGAACCCCTCAGTGTGGACACACTGTTTAGGGAAATACGAAAGAAAATAGCAAAGACCATGAGGGAAAACTAGGAACAAAATGGGACGACAATAGCAAGTAAAAAAGGGATTGATTTAGGGGAAGATCCTGACCCAGACGCACTGTTTGGCCAAATTTCCATTGCGGCGCGCCCCAACGTGGAGGATATCACTGTTTGCGACTAACTTGCGTGTTCTTGCCTTGCGAAGTGACACTCTGGTAGCATCATCGTCAAATCCGTCCTCATCGCATCCCTACCGCCCTCCGAAAGCACCGCAGGCCCTTCCGGATTCTATTAACGAAATTCAAGCAAAACGCCCACAACCAATTTCGAAAAACAACGACGACTGAAAGGACGCGCCTGATGGAAAAAGCAGGGGCAGCGCCTTTGCGCTGCAAGTTGCTGCCTGGAAGTGTGGAGTGTGAAGTGAGGACTGTTCCAGTGTGTATTGTAAGAGCGTGATCCATGGAGCGTTGAGTTGGGAGTCTGGGGTGTGGAGATGTATGGAGAATTATGGAGAAGGGAGTGTGTCGAGTGTTGAGTGTGGAGTGTGTTGAGTGTGGAGTGTGAAATGTAGAGTGTAGATGTGGAGTCTTGGCGCGTTGGAGCGTTGTGGTGTTGCAATGTTGGAGCGTAGAGTCTGGAGTGTAGATTGTTCAATGTGGAGTGTAAAGTGTAGAGTTTGGTTGACAAGCAATCAAATTTTTGAAATTGCCATGATGCGCCATGCAATGAATGGTCCCATCACGCAAACAAGCTGTATTTGGAAGGTCTTTGCCCACGACGGACAGGTGTAGGCCCGAAGGCCAATACATGATCAAAAACCAGCATTTCAATTTTGTGGGAGCTTTGAATTTGGGACAATCCCAGACAGAGCATTGCGAATCTGGGTCCTGCAAGATTTCCAGAGATAATAATAGTACACGATAGTACACGTACATTATCTTTGAAAGCCACATCTCATTGGTTCCAAGCCAAACAAACTTGAACCTGTACGTTCTCATGCAAATAACATTTTTCTGTGTTGATATTTAGTAACTTTTTTTCCCCAGACAGCGCAATTCCATTCGTCGTGAGCACAGAGGAACCATCGTTTTTGAATGTTTTTGAATGTTTTTGACACGTGACCATATGGCATCGGGTCATGATGTGGATGGTGAGGGTATGTTGTTGGTCGTTGTTGCTACAGTTGAGTTGAATCTTGCATGCCTTTGGCAGGCCCGAAACGCTGGCGCAAAGAAAGTTTAATAAACATTTACAAAATCATCAGTCGGTTGCAACGACACACTTTCATCCAAGGCCAGCACCCCCAGTTTACCAAATTGGCGATACTCTGTACATGTTCAAGTGTGCCGGGGGTATCTGCTGGTTGGTGTACCAGCGGGTTCCAATGCGTTGAACCCACCTGCGCAGCTAGTTTCGCAACATACAACCAAACCTCCGTGAATCTAGTCGGTCAGAGGCAAGCTCGCCATAATTCATTGCTACTGAAGCTACTGTCCGCAAGGACAGGGAGAAGAAAAAGGAACGTTCAAACACCGTTGCCCCGACAAGACGGTGCGAGGGTTCTTCACGTGACAACCACAACTGCACTTGCGCTGCCAAAAACCGCGGTGAAAATTAATTTTGACTTTTGAGGATTGAGGATGGGCCTGCACGCCCGAAGACAGCCCATTTCGGGCGCCGGTGAGTGAAACAAATCATTGCAGTCATGTGGAGTCTTTAAATTTGTTGGTCATCTGTCACCTATAAGGAAAACCGACAAAAAATCAGTGATGGAGAGCGGACCACCTCCGAACGTTTGAATTACGTGTTGACTAGCGACTTTCGATTGGTCATCCCATGTTTGCTGGGGACGCTTACGGTTATTATTTTAAAATATTTTAAACATTGTGGGTAAAAAGCGGAACAGGGGTTTTAAAAACGGGTGAAGGGATCAAAAAACATGATGCCCTTGTTGGAGTCATATTTTCAAATTATGTTGCTACAGTTGCGGCGAAACTTTTGAATTCCAATGATGAAGGAGTTTCATGCCGTACAAACCATTTTGCGCCCAACTTGTGCAAATCCTGATCTGCCCCGGGGGGTCTAGGTGTGGGACCATTGCAACTAGGGGGAGGCAATATGTTTTCATTCACCACAGCCTTTTTCAGTGAAACATACTTTTCTTTTATGTTTTTTTCAGTGGGGGTTGTGAAAGAACACGTGGGGTGGCCCAAGAGATCTTTCACTTGGTGTTTGGAAGGAATTCATGGTACTTCTCGCTTTTATGTCTGAGATCTGTGTGTTTCATTGTTTGGTTCCGTCGGTTTTAAGTTTTAAGCATGCTTGACTGTTCCTTTCTGGGTGCAACGTAGGGCAACAGTTGGAATACAGATTAATATAATAAAGGACTTGAGGCAACCCTTCTTGCAAGGGAACGTCTCGCATGCACATCAATAAGGAACATCTTAGCACGCACTCCGAAGTGCAAATGTCCTTGCGTTTTGATTATTTTGGTTTTGAACAATGCCGTTTTGTATGCTGCGGCTTTTGCTGCTGGAGTGCTGCTACCGGCTAGACTGTTGCTCAACGGCTGCTCCGCTGCGTCTGGATTGCTGCTGCCCAAACTATATGCCCAGCTCAGAGCCTCGTGTCGACAACCCGAAACCACTCCGTTTGGGCCACGCATGGCCACGCCTTCCGAAACAATTGAATACGTGCTGCGAGCTAATTGGGATCGACACCACGGCAACTTGGCAAACCAAAAGTCCAAGGAATCCGTTCACCCAGAATGCCCCAAGTCGTCTTCATTGTGCGTGCCATGGCCCCGGGTCATTGGTCCTATCTCAGACGTGATGAAAGGGACTGGTTATGTATGGTTTAAAGCCGACCAAAAACTTTTTTCCCGAATGCGTAGCAAGTAGCAAGGGTTCCCGTTTCACTCTTTTTGGAGGTGGAGCTGTGTTCGCCACACATTGCACAACCGTCCGCAACCGTCTGCAACCGTCCGCAGCCGTCCGCAACCGTCCGCAACCGTGCACGTGAGGTCGCTATGGCCGTGCCTTTGGCGAGTTTTACGAAAGTGGTCACTTTTGGAGGTTTCAAACGTCGCGCAGCCTCGTTTCGCCTGGCAGGCGTGGCACTTTGTGACATTCCAACATGTTTCAGAATCTGTCCAAAGTCGTTTTCTGTGGCAGGCGCAATGCTTTTTCATCGTTTCAGAAGATGCGTTGCACTTTTCCTGGCGCGCACAGCACTTTGGTGATCTCCATCGTCATGAGGGCGGGGGGTCGCTTGTACCTCCAGATTTGGGTCGCTTGTACCTCCACAATTGGGATGCATGATTTTATTATATTTTATTATATGTGCCACAGGATGACATGGGCATTGACAGAGGATGATTTTTTAGAGAAAGGAACGACATAGTTTGGTGATGGTTCTATGCTATCCTATCCAGTTGAAGACTTGCAAACTCTTCTGGGGCGAGCACTCATCTGTGCACACCGAATTGTCCTAGTTTCTATGTGGTTGCTCGAGTTTCTAAACCGCATGTACGGTTTCCATGGTTCCCATGGTTTCCATGGTTTCTATGGTTTCTATGTGGTTTCCAGGGTTTCTATACCGCATCTCCGGTTTCCATGGTTTCCATGGTTTCCATGGTTTTCATGGTTTTCATGGTTTTCATGGTTTCTATGGTTTCCATGGTTTTTATTAGCTTTATGTGGTTTCCATGGTTTCCATGGTTTCTATGCGGTTGTCACGGTTTCTATACCGCATCTCCGGTTTCCATGGTTTCCATGGTTTCCATGGTTTCCATGGTTTCCTATGGTTTCCTATGGTTTCCATGGTTTCCATGGTTTCTATGGTTTCCATAGTTTTTATTAGCCTTATGCAGTTTCCATGGTTTCCATGGTTTCTATGCGGTTTCCCTGGTTTCTATAGCGCATCTTCGGTTTCCATCGGTTTCCATGGTTTCCACGGTTTCCATGGTTTCTATGCGGTTTCCATGGTTTCTATACCGCATCTTCGGTTTCCATCGTTTTTCCATGGTTTCCATGGTATCCATGGTTTCCATTTCCTTGGTTTGTGTTGACTTTGTGTGGTTTCCATAGTTTCTACGTGGTTTCCAAGGTTTCTCTCTGCGGTTTCTAGTGCTAGCATCATCGGTTATTTGGGTTCATTTTATCTTTATTGATATCCATCGCCACTTGTGCCTATGTACTTCTTCTTGGTACGCATTGCGGGGGGAGGCGCTGCGCCCTCCCCCCCTGCACCCCCCAACCCGCTTTTATTTTTTAATGGGCTTCCCTTGCTACCTACACTCTTTCCTTTTTTCATAAGCATCATCGGTTATTTGGGTTCATTCTATCTTTATTGATATCCATCGCCACTTGTGCCTATGTGCTTCTTTCTTGGTACGTATTGCGGGGGGATATTAATATTACTACTACTACTACTGCTGCTGCTGCTGCTGCTACTGCTGCTGCTACTGCCACCGCTAACTAGGCTGGAATCTTGTGCGATATGATGATGGGATGCGCAGATGAGTCAAATTTGGTGCATGGGTGCGCAGATGAGTTAGGGTGCGCAGATGAGTGAAATGTGGTGTGCGCAGATGAGTTCTTTGCCTTGGTTGATGGTCCTATGCTACCCTATCCAGTTGAAGACGTGCAAACCCTTGGGAGCATAGAGTCCAGGAGTCTTCAACTTGAGATGAACGGGACGTGACATGAACGTTATTGCCCCACCCCACCCCACCCCACCCATCCCCCCCTGAATGCAGAGCATAGAGTCCAGGAGTCTTCAACTTGAGATGAACGGGACGTGACATGAACGTTATTGCCCCACCCCACCCCACCCATCCCCCCCTGAATGCAGAGCACAGAGTCCAGGAGTCTTCAACTTGAGATGAACGGGACGTGGACATGAACGTTATTGCCCCACCCCACCCCACCAATCCCCCCCTGAATGCAGAGCATAGAGTCCAGGAGTCTTCAACTTGAGATGAACGGGACGTGACATGAACGTTATTGCCCCACCCCCCCACCCATCCCCCCTCGAATGCAGAGCATAGAGTCCAGGAGTTTTCAACTTGAGATGAACGGGACGTGACATGAACGTTATTGGCCCCACCCTACCCCACCCATCCCCCCCTGAATGCAGAGCACAGAGTCCAGGAGTCTTCAACTTGAGATGAACGGGACGTGACATGAACGTTATTGCCCCACCCCACCCATCCCCCCGAATGCAGAGCCCAGGGAGTCTTCTGAGATGAAGGACGTTGACATGAACGCACCCAGAATGCAGTCCAGGAGTCTTCAACTTGAGATGAAGGGACGTGACATGAACGTTATTGCCCCACCCCACCCTCCCCCCTGAATGCAGAGCACAGAGTCCAGGAGTCTTCAACTTGAGATGAACGGGACGTGACATGAACGTTATTGCCCCACCCCACCCCACCCATCCCCCCCTGAATGCAGAGCACAGAGTCCAGGAGTCTTCAACTTGAGATGAACGGGACGTGACATGAACGTTATTGCCCCACCCCACCCATCCCCCCCTGAATGCAGAGCACAGGGTCCATGAGTCTTCAACAGGAGTCCGAGGCACAAGTGACCCAGAATCCGAGTCGTAAGTGACCCCTACTAGTCGCAAGTGACCCTGAGTCGCAAGTGACCCAATTTCCGAGTCGCAAGTGACCCCTTTGCCTCGTCATGAGGCGTGGCAGGCACAGCGCTTTGGACGTGTCATGTTGCGTGTTTTTTGCAAATCGCATTGACTAAGGCTGCGTCAAGTGGCGACAAGGTGCAGATTGCATGGCGGGCGCGGCATTTGGTGGCATGTGATGAAAATTTACGGACGCCTCGCACGAAACATCGGTTTTGAGGTAGCAAATTTTTAGGTTCATAAGAAAACTCGAGCTACACACTGTGAAAATTTGAGAAAGTCCCGCGGGGAAAGCCGCAAGACCTTTCCGTTTCTAAGGGTTTTCAATCAAGCTAAAATGTCGTTTTGCGCGGCAGGCGTGCCACCTCGTGACATTCTCACTTGTCTGCAAATCGTGTCGAAAGTCGGTTTGTGTGACAGGCACGATTTTTTTTTGCAAGGTTTCAGACGATGACCTGCATGTGTCGCGGCTGGCGCAGCACTTTGAATTTGTCTGTCGTGTTCCTGCTGCAGCCACAGTGCAGCGTGAATGGCTGAGATCTACATTTTTTTGACGATCCTACAAGAGTCACTTACAGCTTTGATGTCGGTTGCCTAAGATGGCAATTTACCTAAGGCCTTCTCAGTGATGCTGCGCAGCCTCATTGTCAGGGTTCGGCTGTGTTCATCAGCTGCCTTCCGTTCCTCTGCCTGGCGCTGGTTCTGCTTCTGCTGCTGGATGGCCACGCCGCCACGCACCCGGTTCTTGCCTTGGGCCTTCAAGCCTTCGCCAGGCCTCAGCGAAGAAGACAATGAACCTGACATGAAAACTCAGGCGATGTGTCATGAACCATCTGAATCATGGCATTTGAAATGAATCGATTGCCTTTATAGAGAGAAAACCAAAAGGGGTGCAATGGCCCAACTGGTTTGTGAATAATTTGCATTCAAAAAGTCAATGTCACTTGAAGTTCATTGCGTCTGTGGGATCAACACTGAAACAAGCCGAGATGCGCATCGTACATCATCGTACTGCATGCGCATCGTACATCATCGTACTGCATGTTGGCATCGATGTACCCCTGGCCGTTCGGCAGGGTAGTAGCCACCCTTCTTGTCGGCGCATAAGATCTCCGATGGACCTCACCGCCAGGGTGGGATGAAAGTGCAAGTGCGCCTTTCCACTCCTGCCACTGCCAGTGTGGCTTAGGCCACTTCTTTCCCTTCCCCTTCCCTTCAGGGAAGAGAGGCCACCATCCCCGCCACCCATGCCCATGGCTATTGCCATAGTTGCCCTTGTTGCGGTTGCGGTACTTCCAGCCTTGATGGTAATCACCATGGGTGCCATGTTCTTTCGACCCATCTTCTGGTGACTTCTTTCTCTTCTTGCTTTCACCCTTCGCGAAGTCTGCCAGCTTGTCCCTGGCGTCATCCATCTCCTCATATTCCTTGGCATGCAGCTTCTTTTGCTTGTCGTCATCCTCCTCATGGGGCATGTCATCGTCATCTGCGTCGTCATGATCTGCATCCATTTGGTCGTCACCTGCATCTGCTGCGCCATCACCATCCAGCTCGACTGGCACATCATCTGCAGGCTCTGCCTCCTCCTCCTCCTCCTCGTCGTCCTCCTCCTCCCCCTCCTCGTCCTCCTCCTCCTCCTCCTCCTCCTCGTGTTCCTGGTAGTCGTCTCCCTCGACTCCCTCGGCACCATGTTCGCCATCCTCACCAGCTGGAGCATCCGGCCCAGCCTGCAGAAAGGTGGCTTCACACTTCGCCCTCCATGCAGCCTCCTCTTCATCCTCGTTCTCAATCTTCGGATCGTCCCACTCTGCAGGGATAGGGTCTTTGTCACCTTTCGGCTTGGCCGTGTTGGGCTTGCGCAGCAGCTTGAGGAATCCGCCAGCAGGGCCCATGGGGCGCAGAACGATGCACACTGGTCACTGGCAATCCCGTCCTATAGAAGCATGGGTTTGCTGCAAAATATGATGTTGGTTTTCTAGATATGCATGGGTTTCCTGCACGGCGGCTGGGGTGTATCCCGCATTGTCAGTCAGGTGGTTCAACACCCACGGTAGGTGAACTTGTGTCGCTTTGGGCAAGGAGCGCCTGGCTGCTGCGAGTTTGTCAGGGATGTTGGCCTCTGCGGGTGGCAAGGGTCCAGCAGTTTGGGCGGTGATTTCTTGCAAGGCAACGAGTGTGTGGTGCAACGTCTGCCATGCCACAGGCGGTGCCCGACGCAGTTGCTGCACGAGGTCTTCCCAGTCAGTGGAGCTGTTAGGGTGGGAAAGCCACGCTTCTATTGGTTGGGCCCGTGTGGTTCTGCTGCAGGGGGCCTTGATTGAGCCAGCGGCGCGCTGCTGTGGTTTCATTTGTTGGTGCCTGGGCGGCTGCTGTAGTGGGCTCTGGTGCGTGGAGTGCTTCTGGCGTGCATGGCTGGGTTTGTGGTGGGGTGGTGTGTCTGGTGCAGACCCACCCTCGCTCCCCGCGTTGCAAATCGAGGGCGAGCGTTCTGGGGCCATGTTGGGGGCAATGTGGTTGCGGTGGCACATGCTGCAAGAGCTGGTGGGTTGGGGCGCATGTTGCGTTGCGGCGAAAACAAACCCACTCTGGTTTCCAGCACTGGTCTCGTTGGTTAAAGACAGGGGCCCACTGCATGTGACGTTCTGGTGTTCACGCCAAGCTGAGTCTGTTTCGGCGTGGGCCGGATCAATGAGAATGAGCCGGCGGCAACAGAGTGGTAACAAGTTGCTCGGGGCTGGCGGTGCTGGGGCCGGCTCCTCTTTGTTTTGCCTCCTCGGCAGCGGCTGGTCAGGACTTTCCAAGTCTTCTTACAGTCACTGTCAGGAGTGAAGGATCAGCAATCAGTTTGGATGTCAAAGCACAAGTCTATGACAAACTGATGGTAAATATACTACGATTTCGTGGATTTCGTGGTAATCAGGGCGCGCGGGAGCCCAAAGGCGCAGATTTCCTCAGAGGGTCCCTCCTCCTCGCTTCCTCCTTCCCATAGTCTGTAGAGGTGGCCCTGAATAGCCTGCCCTGGCCCTGGCCAGGTCCTGAATCAAAAAAAATTGATGCGCCTGGTGATGACCTCAGGGACAACGAAAGAGTTTCACTCGTTTTAGGCACGTACTATCTCGTCCAAACTTGGCCGACAAGGGTAGATCTTAAATGCGTTCATTCCCTACTACGAACTCCCTGCAAAGTGCGAAGCAGTAGCAGATGCAGGTAATTGGCGGTCTGTAGCGCTCTTGTTGGTCTTTTTTGCATCATTGGTATGAATTCCTTTGCATTCCCTGATCTTCTTGAAATCTTTGGCTTTAACTTTTAACCAATCCTTTGTACCCTGGTGTGCCACCAAGCAGCGATTGGTCAGCTTCACCTGCACAACATGTACCACGCGGAGAAGGATCGGCAGGCCATCGAGACGGCCATAGTGCCTCGGACTTTCCATGTCTTTCCATGGCCTATGAATTCATCATGATGAATGATGTGCGCAAGTTTCCCTTCTAAGCTTGGCTCTATATGCTCTATACATCTCTATACTGAAGAGATCTGAAGAGTCCACATGGAAAGGAAAATCAAGACACCGTTCATGGCCTCCCGTGAGTCCAACAGAGTCCAACGTCTGAGATCCGCACTCCAAAGTGCACTTCTCCGCTTCCACCTGGCCATGGCTCTCCAATGCTTCCCACAACTTGGTCGGTGACGAACTTAGAAAACCTGGATGTAAAAAAATATAAAAAGGATTTAAATTTAAAGATATTTAAAGGGTTAATTAAAGGGTTAAAGTATGTTAAAGTGATTAAAGGCAATCACATCCTGGAATCCCAGAGTTGTGAATCTATGTAACCCTGCTCCTCATCAGGAAACCATGTTTACCAAAGAATTGCCCGGCCCAGCACTCCAAGTGATTCCCATCATATCCTCAGAAGCCGTCTCCGCATCCCACCTCTTGGAAAAGCTCTTCAACACTCTTTGCCCTCCCTGAATCAACTCGCAACAAGTTGTCAGGGCGAAGCAACATGAAGCAAAACTGAGACTCACAAAAGCTCTAGATTCCCATTGCGGGGCTTGCAGGGCACACCCAATCAGCACAAACAGCACATGAAAATGATACGAATTCTGCTGAGTTATATTCCCGAAACACCCTGCCAGGTTTCTTTGCGTCTAGGAAATACTTCCGGCAGAGAGAGAGAGAGAGAGAGAGAGAGGTTTCTTTGCGTCTAGGAAATACTTCCGGCAGAGAGAGAGAGAGAGAGAGAGAGAAGGGAGACCTCAAGCAAAATGATTCACTCTGCCATCCCTGATTCACAACAACCAATCTCTCCTATAGGTTCCCTATTTTTGAAACTTCCGCCACCGCCTTGTGCGGTACAACTGGTATTTCTATAGGACTTCTATTGGATTCCTGTAAAATTTCCATGGTATTTCTATGATATTTCTTTGGGACTACTATTGGATTTCTATGGGATGCCGATGGTATTTCTATGGGATTCCTATGGGGTTTCAAAAGGATGTCTATGGGATTTACATTGGATTCCTATGGGATTTCCATGGTGTTTCTATGATATTTCTAGAGGATTTCTATGGGATTTCTGAAGGGATGCTATGGGAATTCTATGGTATTCTTATGGGATTTCCATTGGATTTCTATGGGATTTATATGGTGTTTCTATGATGTTTCTATGGCATTTCTTTGGGATTACTATGGGATTCCTATGGCATTCCTATGGGAGTTCCATGATGTTTCCATGATATGTCTATGGGATGACTATGGGATTCGTGAGGGAATTCTATGGGATTCTTATAGGATTTCTTTGTGGGATTCCTATGCGCTTCCATGTTATTTCTATGATCTTTCTATGGGATTTCTGTGGCATTCCTAAAGGATTTCCATGATATGTCTATGATATTTCTATGGGATGCCAATTGAAAGTAAGTTGAAATCAATTGAAAATGATTCAAACTGAATTTAAATCAATTGAAAATAAAATGAAAGTAAGTTGGCATCAATTGACAATCAAGTGAACGTAACTTGAAATCAATTGAAAATGAATTGAAAGCAAATTGAAATCAATTGAAAGTAAATTGAAATCAATTGAAAGTCAATTGAAATCAATTGAAACCAAGTTGAAATCAATAGAAAGAAAATTGGAAATCGATAGAAATCAATTGAAAGTAAATTGAAAGTAAATTGAAAATCAATTGACAATCAAGTGAACGTAAATTGAAATCAATTGAAAATCAATTGACATCAATTGAAATCAATTGAACGTAACTTGAAATGAAATCAATTGAAATCAATTGAAAGTCAATTGAAATCAATTGAAAGTAAATTTAAATCAATTGAAATCAATTGAAAGTAAATTGAAATCAATTGAAAATCAATTGAAAGTAAATTGAAACCAATTGAAATCAAATTGAAATCTATCAAGTTTTTTCATTTCCACACTATTCAGATCGTGCACTTGAAAATTTCCACACTAAAGAGGCTCTTTGAATTGTTTAGGGGGGGGCCTCGTGCCATTGACGCTTGGCGTCGATTTTGCGGCACCACTTCTTGTACGGTGGAACGGGCTCTTAAGGTAGCTCGATAAATATAGCCGTCACCTGCAATTCCCTTGAAATTGGCAAATCTGCAGAAAATTTATACCCGGCGCCAAGCACCATTTCCAGAGCATGTGTGCTTTGCATTGCGGCGCGCATGGTTCATACTATTCACCGGGCTTCTGTTTCCCATATGCACCTGTAGCTTGGTCGCAGAAAGGAGGCATTGCAACGGTGTATCTATAACTATGGATATCAGTAGTACCGCACAAGGCGGTGGCGGAAGTTTCAAAGATAGGAAACCTATAGGAGAAATTGGTTGTGGCGAATCATGGAGAGCGAACCCACTGATGGATCGAAAGGTGGTTGGAGTGTCGGGCTTTCTATTTATCTATATGTCTGTCTATCTATCTACCTATCTATCTGTCTATCTATCTTTCTTTCTTTCTATCTATGTATCTATCTATCTGTGTATCTATCTATCTACCTATCAATCAATCAATCAATCTATCTACCTATCTGTCTATCTACCTATCTGTCTATCGATCCATCTATCTATCAATTTGTCTTTCTATCTATCTGTCTTATTCTGTCTTTTTATCTATCTATCTATCTGTCTATCTGCAAGCTTGAAAACGAAGCTATTCTGCGAGACTTGTTTTAAATTTGGAAGCTGAAAGCTCAAAAACGAAGCTTTTCTGGGAGACTTCCTGCAATTTGACAATTTACAGCATCAAAAACGAAGCAATTCTGCGAGGCATCCTCAATTGTCGAAGTTGACAACATCAAAAAACGAAGCAATTTTGCGAGACTTCCTCCCAAAATGGAAAGTGGAGTACTGAGGTGACGGCCTCGTACCAATGCGTTTTGCGATTTTTCCCTACATCATCCTACATCTGTGTAAAGTACTGCGCCTGCCAGGAAAAAGTGAGGCCAGGCCATAGGAAGTGCTGCACCTGCCACGCAAAACCACCGTAGCAAACCTGAAGATTTAATGCTCCAAAATGCAACCTTTTTCAGGAAATGTGCTCCCTGACCTCCGAACATCTCTGATGGACATGTCTCTTGTACTGCACCTGCCACACGAAATGCCTCTTTTCAGATCCTCTTCAAATGTCCCACACCTGCCAATGTTTTTGAAACTGCTGCAAAACCTTCACGTCTAACTCACTTGTGACAAGGTGCACAATTGCACAATCCCTTGCGACTGCCATAAAACATTGGAACGTCCAAAAGTGGTCCGAACGTGTGGTGCTTTTGAACATTTTGACTTGGAAATGTGCTTCGCGCCACAACTGCGTGCACTTTTTCGACAGCTCAACTTCCAAAAGTGTTCCGAACGTGAGGTGTTTTTAGCTCTTTC